ACAACAATGCACATTATTTGGGGCCATATTCTCCCTCTGCTCAAAAACAAATGAGATCACTGAAGTGTTCACTGGCATTTATTTGAAACCATGTTTATAATATGCATAAATATGGAAATGAGCAGCCATCTCCCAGAATCACTCACACCAAGAACTGGCACTCTGCTGTAAGTGAAAACTGCTTCCCTTGCAGGTTCAAAAATTCTCCTCAGGAGAAGAAAGAACACCGTCTGTGGTCTCAGAGGGAAACTTTAAGATCTGCATAGCTCAAGCACTAAACTCTTATGTATTACGCTCAAGTATTTAGGACAGTATTCTAAAATATCCTATTTGTAAAGATGAAAAAGTCTTGGTATGGCGTAAGAATTTGAATCTTGAAAACAGCCTTAATAGTAGGAATAAATATAATATAGCATCATAGCTTCTGTTGAATGTCTGCCAGGTGCCAGCTACTGCTTTGATAATGTAAGTAACATGTCTCATATTGATTGTAATCCTTGTAATAGCACCCTGAGTTAGAGAAGCTTATTCTCGTTTTATAGATGAGGAGGAGGCTGAAGTTCAGAGAGGGTACAGAAGTGGGTTATGCTTTTGCCAGCTATGCAGGAAGAGAAAACTGCTGGATTGGGGAATGCTTTTGTATCAAAGGCACAAATGTGAAGTAGCAATGCTAGTGTCACTTGTTGGAAAAAAGCTAACTCTGGCAACCACAAATGTAATTCAGTATTTGAGCAATACTCTTAGGAGGCTAAGACAGTGGTTCATATGAATTCTCCAAAATGCCATCATTAAAATTTTGATGAAAATCACCAAAAATTGCTAATTACCCACATAGTATTTACATGGTGATTTCTAAATATAAAAGTAGAAAAATAGCTAGTAAACACACAACTGAGTTGGCCTTGAGAGAAGTTTTCATTTTCATTCTACATATTTTGGGTAATTGCAATAATTACAAAATTAGTTAACAAATTATGAGCAATTACAGTAAAAGTCTTTTACTAACTAAGCCAAGAATTATGAACTGTTTTCACTGTAACTCGTCTATTTTTTAAAATATATTGTCCAATCTCTTTTATTTGGTGCCCATTTAAAAAATTTTTAAAAGAAAGGTCTTCGAAAACTTTTTGCCTCACATTTCTTTGGATCCTGCATTTAGATGTCATGCGTTGGTAGTTGCTACTGCACAATTAGTTATTTTCCCCATCCCCTGCATGAGATATTCCCTTCTCGGGAACAGAGAACCATAGGACCCAGTGAGCCAAGGAGTGGAAGAGGAAGGCTACTGGGGCTTTCTGGGAAACGGTTTCTTTCTTTTGCCAAGAGAGACAACGGTCCTTCCCCGATTTGGCCCCTTCTTGCTTTAAACACGGTTCTGTGAGGCTGCGTTCCTTGGATTGTGGGGGCCCTCTTCGACAAGGTGACAAGCCTGAGGAGGAAAATCCACGGGAAGCAGATGGCAGAATGGGAAGATGGTCTTTCATGACATCCTTAGGTCCTGTCATCAGACCTGGAACTGCCAACTTCTGGACTTAGGTGACATGTTTTTGTTATTTGGTCTGAAAACGCAATTCACTAAACTAAACATGGTTCTGTTCTCTGAAGCCTTGCTCCAGAACAAAGTCCCAGGTGTAATGGAGAGCTTTTCACTTCCAGGAAAGTGTCCCTAAAGAGCGCAGGGCGGGAACAGAGATGTGCTGGCTGGGGGGTAATGTGAGCTGCGGGACTCCGGCGGAGCAGGCATTCCAGTGCCCTTCCTCTGTCTCAAAAGCGCACGTGGATTGCGCAGGGCACTCTATTCAGACCTCTCAGGCGGTGACTGACCTTCACCGAGCACCCACCTGGAAAGGCGCTGCGTGAACTGACTGGGGGCCTCAGCGCCGGTCTGGCCGTGAGAGGCGGCGCGGCCCACGGCACCGCGCGGCCCGGGCTGGGCTCCGACCGCGCAGGCTCCACCCGCCCCTGAGCGAGACGCGCTCACCCCTCCGCACGCCCATCTTCCAGCGGCCCCGGGCTACGGCAGGACCGCGGGCTCCCCACGCGAGTGCGGGGAAGGCGCGGTCTACGCGAACCGTCTGAATTTAGCTCAGCTCTAAGCGCCTCCGCGTCTTTATTTCGGAGGACTTGAAAAATGAAGCATAGGCGCAGGGAAACGAAGACAGCTCAGCACCTCAGTAAACCCGTCCTTGCCAGACAGCTAAGCCAGCACGTCTCCCTTAGCAGAACATCTGCTCTCAGCCTTCCTCAAACGGCAAGGGCCGGAGCCCGAACCGCGGCCAGCGCCCGGGAGCCCTGCCGCGGGCCCCCGCCCCG